TTTTTTTTCGACATTCAAATGCTCGTAAAATTAATCATACTGAAAATACTTCGGCATACTTCTTTTGTTTTACAAGCTGCAAATATTCATAGTTGATCATCGAATGGTTTCCAATAGACCATATTATAATAACACAAATCTAATTCCCGATGCATTTGGCGATCTGTATGTTCGAACACGTTGAGGCATACAGGGATTTACATAATTGAAATACTGTGTATGCTGACATTGATCCTCACTCCAGAGAAGCGTACTTCGCGCTCTATGTATTACAACAAACATTTTCAAAGCAGAGGAAGATATATGTGCTTCATTCTTCGAAAGAGTTTGATTTTCACGATGTTACACTTATCATCGGAGATATTTTGAAGTATGTTCGTGAGTATAAAGAATGTTCTTCCGTATCAAATTCAAAAAGCATTTCTAGCGAAAATAATTTTGAATTTTGTGTGTGAATTTTAATTTATTATCAATTTTATCGAAGACACACAGTCATCGCTTGGAACGTGGTGCAATATTTTAATTTGCATACAAAAAGTGTTAGTTGCATACAAAATCGTGACATAATAACAGAGAAAGATCAGAGAGTAATAATTCTATGTTCGAGAAAATAAGTTAGAAAGAGGGAATAAAATCTTTCCATTTAAGGTCTCGTTTCCTTCAGAGAATTGAGTTTGGATATTCGCTAAATATTCGTTAAATTTCCATTGACAGTTCCCCGATCGAGTGTTCGTACGATAAAATATTTCTAATTGCACGTACGTGGAACATTTTCACATTACCTGTACACAAATATCTGTCGATCCATAGGAGCAAGGCGTGCCGTCAATCAAATGCTTCCTAGTGTAAAATATCTCGCCTGTCTCTTTGCTTCTGCAGATCAATCGACATTTCAGATTCTCCTGCTCGGATGCGTATGGTAACCAGGTCACGTCGTTGTTGGATCGTACTCTTTCGGCATGTAGAACGTTGCCGAGTTTCGCGCACTGTTGGGCTCTGAGGTCGACGGAAGTTAAACACTTCGGCAAATCGCAAAGTCTGCAATCGTCGCTCGGCCCTGAACAGTATTTCCCGCCGTAAGCAGGCCTGTGCGTTGAGAAATTAAAGAAAGAGAATTATTATCTTACAAACGATTCAAAATGATACACTGTGTTTCGTTGAAGCATATCTAAAGATTCTACGTTTTGGTAATAGCTTGTTCCTTTTTCTTCGTTCGATCTATCGAAAATTGTGCAAGCAAATGATAAAATAATTTTAACTTAAAATGTATTTACAGAAATTTATTATATAGACATATATAGCTTCGAAGAAATTAAAATTTCATGAAAATTACAGAAACACTTGTGGAGAAAATCTATTATAAAAATCAATAATAAAGTTGCACGATATTCGAAAACAAATTGTCGTCGTACTATAAATATTAAGAGATGGTGAATTAAGCAGTATAAATACTAGTCAAGTAATATAAATACACTAACAGAGGTTTGTTGCATTTCCGTGTTCGACACTGTACTCCGATTCCACAAGTCCTCGAACACTTGTCCCAGGCACTCCAAGCACTCCAATCCCCGTCTCTAGGTTTATTCAGCATTGTTCCAATATCGAATTTTTTTCTATTTGTCGACTGACATCGACCGTTTATACACCACTGAAATATTACAATATTCATATACTGTTACTACTCGACTTAACTATGATTAATATGTATTATATTCGGCAATATTTGAATTACATTTACATCAGATTTATATCTGGCATAATTAAATCTGAATATATCATATCCAGTAATTATTATAATTGTACAATTATATTACAATCGTGTAATTATATTTGATTATTCGTACAATTATTGTAATTGAAAAAAAAACACACACACACATTCGTTTATAGAATAACTTGAATTAAACTGTGCCAATCGTTTGTTTCACTTTCATTGTATTAATTAACAATAAATTAAACTTCTATCTACCTTTGAGCTACCACATAACGTGCCCTCTAAAGGTGGTCCCTTTTTGGTTTTGCATCTTTCAGAAACGTTACTGTTACCACACCACAAATGAGAGCACGGTTCCGCAACATCGAAAGTTTTACAATGTTCGTAACTAAAGTCAAAATACATTTACATGTTACTAACGTGGTAGTTAACTTGTTAGTTAAAATATTAATTAACAATTTGTAAATTATTGGTCATGATTATTGCCATGATCAGAATTATTAGTCATAATTCTTGTGAAAATAATGCCAAATAAAGATTGCAGTTGTTACCTATTACGTAATTAATCATGTTTCTGTTTGTTATGTCATATTTGTCGTCTCTGCCTCTGTTTAATGAAAGCCAAATTTTGTTACATAATTCCTATTAAAATAATTGGAAAAAAAGGATTGTTACGTAATTAATAAAATACGTAAAACACGTATGTTTACCCGTGATTGGTGATCGAGTGATAACAAGACTGCGGATTTTTATACATTTTTCTATTATTTCGAATAAAATCTAAAAAGAAATTCGTAATTATAAATTAACAAACACTGTTAAATATTTTATATTAGTATTCTTGCATGCACATTCAAATTTTTCACAAATACGTTACAACCTAGTGGTAACATGACAAAAGGCTACATCAACAGCGCAAAATGCGTTAATGGTACTTTTCAGATTCCACGAATTAGAATGAAATGTTTGTTAGAATGAAACGATGATAGACGTACCCTTCACCAAACTCCATACGACACTGCTCGTCCATTGTAAACGTTTCCTGAACGGTGGTCTTCAGTTGACCGAAGCCATCGTTTTTCGGCTTATTCGACAAACAGGGCCACCGTCTGCAAATACCTATTTTAGGAGTATGTAATTCCAAAAGGTACACACTCGAATAAAACGAGAATCGTCACCTTACTCTGCGATGGAACTCCTTCCTCGAGCAAGCAGACCAATAAAAATGATGGAACGTTGCTGCGACCATCGGTGCCATTACGCTTCCTCGAGATCCCTCTTCCTTGCACGCGTTTCCCGTCGTTTCGTCCCCGTCGTGAGTCAAACCTAGGCTACGGGAAACACGTTTGTGTGTCGTCGAAACGCAGAGAGAAGTAACGTTGGAAAGTCGTAAGAAGAATTTTCGTGCCAATGTAGAACGCATGTCGATGTCAAATATGACACATTAAAGTCGCCTAACATGGGACCCATTTTTGAGAAACAACACAACCCTTCACAATCAATTAAACAATTCGGAGGTAGAGACAATTACAAGCAAAGGAAAAAGAATTTATTGGAAATAAGCTTCAACGAAAATAATTAATAATAATTATTCGATTGTAAATACCGTATATATATGATATGACTATGTAGTAGTATAATATTACTTTTGTCTCAAGAGATAAGGAAGATATACTAAACATGATATATCGATAAAAGAATTCTTTTTAACATACACACATTGAAACGTTTAAGGAATATTTCATACGCGTTACAAAGTATACTCACATGTGTGCTACTTCGTGCGCAATGATAAAAGCGCTGGTCAAACCTTCGTCTCGATTTAAGGCACACGATCTCGCGGGATCGCATACACCTGACACAGGTGCGTAACCAGAAGGACCACCGATGTCTAACCTCGTCAGCCATACTGCAACATCGTAATTCGCATCCGTTGAGGACAACATCTTCCTGTTCCATTTGTTCACATTTTCGAGGGATCGTCTGGCATCGCCGTGACGAACCTGTGATAATAATGAACAATTTCTCAACAACTGGTAAATATTACGAATAGTTAACACTATTAACATTGCAATCCTCAAAAGCCGCAGTAATAATTTTTTTTCTTTAAATAAAGAATTAGTAAAGTTAAAAGAAATTAACATCACGGGATTAAAGTGTCAGAATAAAATTCAGGATTTCACGAGGCGAGGCACAGAATTAATAATTAATTATATCGTGCATGTTCGAACAATTAATAAGAATTTTCAATTTAATATTTCAACGAGTCTACATCACTTTGAAATATATTATTGCCGATATAGGATGTCGCGTGGCAAAGTGTGTCAAGCAGCGAATTCAATGGAATGGGACTTGTCAATTAAAAAAAATAATAAATAATAAATACTTGAAATATTTCGGATGTAATTTTATGAGGAATTTCATATCGCTTACCATACCGTCTCTTTTCTCCGCGTATAAAATCATTCGTACGATCACTAGAATCATATTTGATTCAAGAGACGGGTCCATATAAATTGCACTGACCTAGAATTGAAGTACGTCTCTACGTTATATCGAATTATAACAGATGTTACGATTTTCTAGATTTATTTATGTAGCTTCGATAGATACGTGGTATTACTTACGATGTTTAAGAGAGCCATGATATATTGTTGCACACGAATTCCGTGGAAATCTATCACGGAATAATCAGCAGCTATGCCAATCTCTAGCCATCGTGGCGGTGGTCCCTTAGCAGTTGGCCTTTTCTCTAGAAAATACACTTACACAAATTTATTTCCGAAATTGGAAAAGTTGTTCAACGCTGATATTTTTTTAAATACATGATTTTATCAGAAATGCCTGTGAAGTAATTATATTCTTTTAAGGTTTCGTGCTTCGGAATAGTATTTCATTTTTTTTCTTAATTAATCGTGTTATACAATAGAAGTAGGAATGAATAATTTACTATTATAGATAATTGTTGAAAACGTTTTATTAATTCCTACTGCATTCTTTGTTATATAAAGAAATATTTATCTTACTTGAAGATCTAGTCCTTTGCCATTTAGGACCGGAGAAATGTTCAATCTCCTCAGGGTTCACGTCAATTGATAATTCTTCCACTATCGTGTCGTTATACTCCGTAGGTATCTCGTCTTTTTCATCGTAGAAAATCAATTTCTCAGCTTCTGGGCACTCTACGTCAAAGACGTCACCGGAGAGATTATAAAATCCCTGAACGTCGTGATTTACAGGGTCGTCGTCGTGATCGCTGGATCGTTTGATCCGTTTGGTCTTTTCATTGCTCTCCTCAAATTCGTTCGATTTCTCTGTAATTTTATTTCATTTGTCTTTGACTTACGTTTGCACTTACAATTTTAAATCCTATTAACAAGGGAAAGGAAAATATATTAATTTTCCGCGGATGTCTATGCAATTTTATAATCGAACAAAGATAATTGGATAAAGTGAAACGTAGAAAATAGGTGGAGAATTACTTCTACTGTTTACTGCAACAAGAAATAATTTTTACAAGTTGTTCAGAAATGTTTAGAAATGCATCATCTATTAATTAAAAACGTACAGTTTCTTAAGATCAAGTTGCGAGCAATTAAATGTATTAATTATTTTTGTTCTTTTCCCGTAAGTGGAGCTTCGCGACAATCACTTTGAATGCCCTTTGATTTCGAAACAGTAGCAACAACTTTTCTGCCAATAAAAAAAATTACTGGTCACGGAAAAATCAACAAAGATCGATCAAACAAACTTGTTTAAACATTGAACATTCAGTCAAAGTAGTAATCTCGGTAGTATTTCATTATTGAATGGGAACTTTCAAATTTCAATGTGAAGGAAAATCGTTACCGTGGCACTATCAACTTTTCATCAATATTTCAACCGAATTTTAAATATTTACATTGCGCCCTCTGACACGTGACATCAACGTTCAAATCCTTGAATTTCGATACAGCAACGTTCTACAACCTTCGGCGATCGGAGATTTAATTGAGAGAACAAATAATCAGTTTATAAACTGACAGTCCCCCGGTACACGCAATAAATTTTATTGAAACTTGGCCTGAGTTGTAAAGTCGCAGCTGTGTAGAGTGTTACATAACTCCATTTCACTCGGTTTTCCTGGATTTCAAACAATTTATGAAATTGAAATTTATTGAACATTAAAGATCCTTCGCAAATATTACTGATCATTTAATGTAGCTAAATTATTAAGAGCTGCTTCGTTTCAGATCTTTAACTAGTCGTATTTGGATTTGATGATAATTTTAACTTCTGATAGGCATCTTGTGCATTATTTGACTATGTAATATTTGAAAAATAATTATTTTAATAGTGTATTATCTTATTTTCGATATCATCTTGAAACAATCCTGCGTTATTTTATTTGAACAAGGAAGTGATACTTTTTTTTTAATTATTTTTATCATGTTATCATGTTATATATA